AAGTGTTTTGAAAAGAAAAAATAAAACAAGTGGTAGCTTCTGCTCGCTCTGCTGGTTAAGGAACCAGTGTTGTTAAAGAAAGTGTATAGACTTTATTATCATAAAAACAAAAAGTTTTTTGAGAACGTCTGTTTTTTGGGTTGGCAAAAGGATCAGCGGAAAGAGTTTTCAAATTCAAATTTATTATTTTCAACATTAATATTATTTAGTATTGAATTTTGTTGATTATTGCTTAAAGCTATAATTCAATTTAGTGAAATATTCTTAGTTCTTTGCCAAATAGTAAATTCTTGATTTGACAAGTTTTTAGTTTTTGTTTTATAATATTTGGATCTGATCTATCAAAAAGGTAGTTATTATTTTGGTTACATAGAATTTTTTGTGTAAATATGTTTTCTGTAGAGAAAATTGCTAAAAATATGCTTATGCAAAAAAAAAATTTTGTGTAACCAAAATAATAACCACCTTTTTGATAGATCAGAATTCATTTATGAAAAAATTCTATTTGTGGATTAACAAATAATCCATTGCATTTATTATAGTTGCAAATAACTTTCATTTTTTTAGGTTTTTTTTTTTAAACTTTTACTAAGTAAGGCTAAAATTAAATGCTTTCTTGCCATTTCAATTTACAAATATTAAATATAAAGTAACAAAAGTCATTATTTAACTCTGAAATTGTCAAATGTTAATGAATTTTAATATAATATATAAAATTTATATAATATATAAAATTTATATAATATAACAAATTTTTATTTAATAAAACTAATAATGAATATAGTATAATGAATTTATAACAAATTTTTAATATAAAAATATCAAATAAAAATTATAATAATAAAAATGATACAAACAATAATATAATAAATATCAAATTATATAATAAAACAATATATAAAATTTTATATAAATATCTTTATTAATTTAATTTTTGCTAAAATGTTTAAACAATAAGAAAAACTATCTGATAAAAATGTTTATAGAGAAAGTTACAACATCTGTTATCTTCATAACTTTCAGAATATTCTTTACAATTTCAATATTTATTTTCATCTGTTATATTAGAAGAACATGCAATAACACCTAATATTGAAGATTTAATTTTTATAATAGCAGCTAAATTGCTTAAAAGAAGGTTATCTTTTATATTACCTGACAGCTTAGCAACTAAAGTTGCACAAGTATCAACTCCTGAACTGAAGTTTGTGACTTGAACTTGGAAGGAAATAGAAAAAAATACAATTTAAATTATTTTTAAATTATAAAATCTATTTTTACTAATTTGTCGATTTATTTAGAAAATGAAGGGTTATGTATAAAGATAAATGAACTAAAAAAAGCAAATGCCAATTTGGAGACACAATTAGTTACAATAGAACATATAAATAAAATATTTTTCAATAAATCAAATTAATAAAAGAAATATATTGAATATCTAAGAAAGAAAAATGAATAGCTAAAACTATATAAATCAGTATTACAGCCAATAATAGTTATAAAAATTACAAAAGTGACATCTGAACCTCAAAATCAATCCAAACCTGAATACAAACCTAAACTTGAATATCAATCTGAACCTAAATATCAACCTGAATCTGTGCTTAAAGCTAAAACTAAATATATAATTTCAGATTTCAAAAATGTGAAAAGAGTAAAGATTTCAAAAAGTATAAAGATGTTGAAAAGGATAAAGATGTCAAAAAGGACAAAGTAATAGAAATGGCCAAATATTTGAAACTGTTTCTAAAGATAAAAAAGAAAAGAAAGCAAGAGCTAAAATAAAGGTTCTGGTGAAAACTATTCCTATAGAATTTTAATTAAGGACAAACGAGATTTATTTAAGTGATACAAATAAAAAAATATTATGCAAATTAATATCTGAATTATTAAAATTAATGAACTCACATTTTAATCCATCATGAAAGCAACTGAACAATTGATTAGGTGTTTTACATCATTATCAAAAAGAAAGATATTGAAAGATATAAACAGAAAAACTAAATGCAAACAATTATTGTTTACATGCAAATAGTCAATTAAATAAGATAAAATTAATTGATATTTATATTATATTACTTGTATTAATTTTTATCAAATAATAAAAAAAAAAAAATAAAGAATCAAAAGTATACAATTACTTATTAACAAAAAGTCTAAGAGTATTGCAAGATATTGGAAGGAATTGATTAATATAGTTAAAAAACCAAAAGTTTATTTGGCTGAAGAAAATAAAACTAATTCAGAAAATAATAATAAGAAAAAAACAAATGTATATTACTATAGTTGATGTTTTAATAAGATATTTTTTAATAAATGATTTTATACTAAATAATTAATTCATTACTAATTATTTTATAGTTAAAAGATTTATTGAAAAATTTAAACAAATATTTAAAGTCAATTCAATTATTTCAATTAACTTATAAATGAAACTATAGTAAATCTTATTGTTACAATATAACACTGCCAGAAAACTTGCTAAGTTGAGTTTATAAATCAAAGGATAAAGAGCAAAAAATAGAACAAAGTAAAAAAAATAAACAATCAGTAAAAAAATATAAAAAATAAAGAATATCTAATTATGAAAAATCACTTATGTATTTAGAGAGAAAGAAGTATCAAACTGACAAATAAGCAATATTAAAGAAGAAAATTAAAGAAAAATTATGAGAAGTACAAGAAGTATAAATCACAAAAAAGCATACTAAAATAAAAGAAATTCAGCATTATAAAATCTTCGAAAGTTACAAGGCCATAGCAAAATCAACAAAAGAAAAAAATAATTATAAACAGAAAGATTCAAATAAAAAAATAGAGAAGAAATTTAGTAAATAATAAGCAAATAATTAATAAATAATAAGTGAACAATTACTGAATAATTAATAAATAACTAGCAAATAATTATTTTAAATTTAATATTTTTTACATTTTTAATAAATTTATCAAGTATTAATTAAATTTTACCAAATATTATTATTACAAATGCAATTTTTTTATTGAAAATATACAATTTGATTTTATCAAAATATAAAATACCAAATAATTTTGTCAACTTTATAGTTAAATAATAAAAATTTATTTTGAAGGCTATAATTTTTATTATAGAATATTGTTAAATTAAATATTTTTTTGCCGAATAATTTTATTGTCAAATTTTCTTATTTCTGAATAATTTATTGCCAAATGATTTTATTGTTAAATGATTTTATTGCCAAATGATTTTATTACTGAATAATTATTTTTTTGTTGAATGTTCTATTTTTTTTGCCAAATTATTGTATATTTTTTAAGTACCAAATGGCATAAATTGAATCAAACAACAAAACATCAGTATAAACTTTTATTAATAAATTTTAATTTAATCAATTATAATTTGGCAGCTGAATAATCTAATTTGAACTAGTATGCTATTAGTTTTTCATTTTATACTAATCTTTAAAATCAGATTAATATATGACAATATGTATTTGTATATAGTAAATTTTTTATAATATTAAAAATAAACATAAAATAGTATAATTTTAATATACAGTATAAATACAATCAACTTGAAAAAATTAATTGATGACAAATATGATTTTTATAGTTTTTAAATAAAAATTTTTTGTTAGAATATATTAATATAATACTAAAAATAAAAATATTCTTTGTTTTTAAATGTAATTAATTTTAACTTGTTTTTTAAAAAAATATTGAAAAATAAAATAAAATAAAATAATAATAAATAAAATATTTTATTTTAAAATAAATAATAAGTTAAAGTAAAAAGTAATACATATCAAATTGAAAAAAAAAATCAAGTAATACAAAAAATCCATAATTAACAATCAAACAGTTATTATAATTTTCAAAAAAAGAATCTTTAGAAAATAATCATGATATAGAAAGAATTGATAGAAAGCTAATGATATAATTAGTTAACTGTATCAATTCTTTTTTTTTGAATTTTTATGAATTTTCATATTTTATTAATAATTCAATAAGATTCTATCAATAGTATGCAGTGTATGTTAAATATTAAGAATCGCATGTCTGAAAAAAAAAGAATCGCTTAAATATAAATTTTTTCAATTTCATGTCAACATTTACTTTTACATAAATTAAAAAAATTTTTTATTTACTTAAAGTCACCATTAAAATGTTAAAATTACAATTGATTGAAATTACATCATACTTTAAATAGGTGAAAAAAAGTAATACTTAAATTCACGAACTATCAAAATTTACCCAGATCCTCCGCAGTGTTAATAATGGCGGGAGTTTTAATTGTCTTTCCATTCAGTCTTTCTAATCCCTCACCAGAATAAGATACCAAGGGAGAGATCTCAAAATTGAGTGCACCAGAAGTTTCATCTGACACAACTTTTCCATTGGCGTGTTCAACGAACCTCACGTGTTGTGCAATTATGTCTCTTCGACTGGTGTCTGGATCATCGGCACCTGTGCCTGGCGCGTTCTTGAGAGGCGAAAATTCATCCTTTCTATCAGCCTCGAGGACTGCCATGCGTTTAGCATAGGGGAAAACATCAAAAACAAAAAGTTCGAGTTTCATGCCATTTGGTTTAGAGGGAGAGATGAATTCTCCGTTGCTAATGTCAATGTGTTTGATCTTCTTCCTTGCAATATGATATTCTAGGTCACCCTCAAAAGATTTTACACGTTCGAGAAAGTCCACAGTGTAAAAGTGATTGGCAATATTCGCAGCACCGAACAAAAGTTGACCATTAGGTTTTCTTTTCTGTGTGATCTCAGGATCAATTTCACTATATTCTACCACGCTGCATTTACCATCACAAAGAGCAATGACACCGACAGGTTCTTCGGGTGAAGATTTGCGAACAACTTTTGCACCACAATCAGCGTCTTTTTCAACGCAGTATCCAATAAAAACAGGATCTGCAACTCGGACCAAGCAATTATCCACACAATACGCGTGAGTATAGCAAATGTTTCTCGATCTCATAGAGTCTAGGATTTTTTCATTTCGAAGGGCGGCATATATTCCACCGTTACCATCTGGAGCAACGGAAAGCTGCATATGTATATATATATATGAGATTACCAATGTGATAATGGAAAATAAATAAATATAATATATAGATTAATATATGTATGCATACCTTGGATTTTGATTCAAGAAACACTTTGCCATCATTGGTCAGTGCAGGCAGTGTACCTAGCAGTAATTTACAAGGGTCAACATATGTAATCTGTGTAGTTTTGGAATTGGTTAAAGAAGGAGAAAAAATACCTTGTTCAAAAAAGATCACGTTTTCTTCTTTCAGTCCAAAATAATTGTGCTTCTTAAAGAAGCCCTCGGTAGCTGGCCTTGTTGGACCACTAGTCATTATATACCACGGGATAATAACTTCGTTGCTGGGTTTCACATGCTCCTGGGCGACCTTTTGTAACCTCAGAATGCGTTCTGCTTGGAGCTGGAACAAGGATTTTCCGGAGGGCAAGCCAATATTATAACAGCCCTTGGGATCTGAAGAACCTAATCTGGTTCCCTGGCCACCAGCCATTAGAATGACAGCAACTTTATTCTGAGCTATCACATTTAAACCTTTATTTCTCCAATCTTGAACTTTTGCATCATCATTGTCTAACACGGAGTCAAACACATCATCAGGTAGAGGTTCCAGATTTTGAAATTTGGTAGTCGGAGCGTTAACAGACTTTTTGAAAATATTGTTGACGCGTCCGATGTCGAGCTTATCAAGTTGATTGAAAAGCGAGGCTTGTTGCTCAGGTTCGAGTTCATCGTAATAAGTAAAAAGGTGTCCTTGGCCGGCGGCGATATACCTTTCTTTCAAAGATTCAACTTCGGTCTGGGTAGGCATCGTTTAATTTTTTCAAATATGACAATTTTACTTGAACATGGGTCACCTTTATACACGTACCTGTCTGTACGAAATTTATTGGTCGCCCTAATCAGGTAAGATTAATACAGAAAATCTGCACGTCAATCTGCATTAAGTGGGGGTGATAATCAGATTTGTTTCACGATGGCTTTACTCGAAAGCGTTTGTCCCGATCTGAACCTTGTCTCACGCGGTAAGGTTCGTGATTTGTATCGCGTCGACGATGACTCACTGCTTTTTGTCGCGACGGATCGCATAAGCGCTTTTGATGTCATTATGAAGAACGTATGTTACTTTTCATATGAATATACGGACCGATTTTTTCCTCGATAAAAAAAAAAAAAAAAAAATGAATTCAACAGGGCATTCCAGGGAAAGGAAAGATTCTTACACGAATAAGCGTGTTTTGGTTTAATTTTCTTAAAGACGTTGTCCCGAACCACCTGATTACCTCGGATTTTGCAAAAATGCCAGCGATTGTGCAAAAGTACAAAGATCAACTTGAGCACCGGTGCTTACTGGTAAAAAATTTAAGAGTTTTCCAGGTTGAAGCTATTGTGCGAGGTTACATCACTGGTAAAGTTATGGATAAATCGGATAATTCCGAATTTGAGAACTTTATTTTCCAACAATCCGAAATCGTTATAACCGATTCCAACAGGCTCCGCTTGGTCCGAATACAAAAGGAAGGGAAGCGTATGTGACATTCCTCTTCCCGAAGGATTATTAGAGTCCCAATGCTTTGATCGAGCATTATATACACCAAGCACAAAGGCCGAAATTGGTCAACATGGTAAATATTGGGTCGTGTAACCGGGATTTTTCCGGGTTTTTCTTACAATGGAACATTTTGTTGTTTTTAGACGAAAATATCCATCCGAGCAAAGGTAAGTGTTATCGGTCAGGCATCGTTTGTTTACGTGATTAAAAATTCATTTTGTTTAAAGTACCTGAGATAATTGGGGAGGAATTTGCCCGAGATATAACCGAGCTTTCGATTAAATTGTATTCGAAGGTGATTTCATTATATCACTCAAATCAATGTTTATTAATAATGAGACCGACGGAACAAATTCATAATGAATCCATAGGCAAAAGATTACGCAATTGAAAAAGGAATTATTATCGCCGATACCAAATTCGAATTTGGCGCTGACACCAACGGAAAGATATATCTCGTCGACGAGGTCCTCACACCTGGTAACTATTTTTATTCGTTTTTCAGATATTATCTTTTATGTAACCATCTCCAACACTTGCCTTTAATTTCTTAAGACTCTTCACGATTTTGGCCCTCCTCTAATTATGCGGTTGGCAGAGGTCAAGAAAGGTAAATAATAGTGACATCCGTTATTCGCATACAAGACTCTTAAATTATTGAATTTCACCTAAATATCAAAAAAAAAAAAAAACGTAAAACAGTTTTGACAAACAATATGTTCGCGATTATTTAACGAGCATTGGGTTTGACAAGAAAACTGGCATTGACTTGCCCGATGATGTTGTACGACAGACACAGGAAAAATACGTCGAGGCATATAGGCTATTAACAGGATTCGAGCCAGATTTTTTATAATTTGATTTGTACAAGAAGTTTTATGAAGAATTTGGGCGCTTAGCAAATTTGAACGAGCCAGTATTTCTATTCTCTGTTAACATCTCTTCTCTCCACGAGTTTCTTGAATTCTTCCAAACTCTCACTGGCGCGTTTCTGTGCTTCAAATAAACTTCCCCCAGGAGAGGTTAAATGGACGGCACTGAACAAATTTTGATTTCTAGTTACGGAATGAATAATGAGTCAAAGGTGTTATCTTTTTTTGATGTCAAAATATTTTTTTGAATGCACTTAACATTGAATCCACCGTGTGAAGTAAAGCCCGTAGTTCATATATGATTTGCGTTTCTTGCTTGCTTGGAGTTGATGGATGTTCGATCCGAGCTTGCGTGGAAGAGCTATTAAAAATAGAATCAAATGTTTATTTCTCCATAACTCGTATCAAAGTCACGCACGCACGAAGTGACGATACCTAGAAGCAGACATTACAGAAAGTTTTATTGTATCAGACGCGTCCAAGTTCAAGTGGGGACGATCATCAATGTAAAGTCCAAATTTATATTGGTGTAACAGCATTGTTTAATTCAACATTTCATTATTTAATGAAAAAATTTTTAAAGCATATAACTTGCTATGATAATTATCTATATCTGTTAATATTATTTCATGTACTGATTCTTGTATCGATCTCTTTGTTCCTCTTGTGAATAATTCTTTGGATGGTACCAGGATTATCCCTATTGTTCCTTCTTCTTGTTATGTGAGAGGTAATAAATCACCGATCAACAATCGTTGATACTCTGAGATAACGCCTTTGATCTCAACTGAAATCCATGCCGCCATGGATCGAACTTCATTGTTAACCCTATTTTCGAATATCGCTTTTTTTGAAAAAAAAAAAAAACAGGATTGTCAGATCGTTTCAAACATGAATTTTGATTTAATGTTAGTAATTCACAAACCATTGATCCATTGCTGAGTTTCGACCAGCTCCTTTCCAAAAGCTTCCGCCAGATCGCGTCCCGGCAAGGAATTTATTATGACGCTCACGCCAAATAACAATGCTGATAGCACAGCTGGATCATCGTGATGTCGTAAAGATAATAATAAATCCCAAAATTCTCGAATGATTTGCTGAAGATTAACAGTATTCACTTTGAAGTGATAATAATTATAATAAATTACCAGATGCGTTTTATACATTTGCAAATTGTGTGTGAATAAAAAGATGACTTACCAGAGCATTGAACAACTACTGCCAAAGTTACAATGTATCTTTGCAACAATGTAGGTTCATATATTAGATTGTTTCGTTCACTAAGAAAATCAAAGCAAGTCAATTCAAATTAATTAAATTTAAAAGGAATCTGTTACGATTAAACATTCTCAATTTGCTAACCGGTCGTGAATAAGCGCCCAGAAACCAGCTGTCAAGGGAAAGAAGAAAGTTTTGGCTGCAACTTCGTTAAATTTATTTGTTCTAATTGAGTTGTGACGCAAAGCCTCCAATTGAGGTCTACGTGAGAATCGGTTTTCCTTAATATTTGTGGTAGGTAGTTTTAAGGTGGAGATGCTAAGATCTTTGAACTCCTCGGTTATATCATTAGCGATATAGTACTTTTTGCTGTTGGACACGTCCTTTTAAAATCAAAATCTAGTTTGTTTATTTTTGAAAGAACTGAGTATAACAAACACTTCATATGATGTGTGCAATCAACCTCTTGAGTCTGTATTCCGGCCAGTTCTTTCGCCGAACTCGATATTACTGATAATATCATGAGTTTGTCGGACAGTGAATATCGGTTCTCAAATAATTGCTGAATAATGTACCTGGATACCGACAGAAATTTGTATTTGGTACGGTAAAATAGTTAAAAATGTAATCTGTCAGGATGTGAGATCCATACTTACGGCACAACGATCTTTGGGCTTCCACAAGAAAGCGCTACCAATGCATCCTGCCTATTTTCCTCAAATCCTTTTAATTCAAACTTGTCTTGCAAACTGATAATAATTCTGGCCAGTTCCTCCGCGTTGTCATCTGAGAAAATTGATGTTATTTATTCCTTTATTAATAAAAGTCGGTATTATTACGATAGGCATTATCAATTTACCCAGCTCCATCCCGAATCCTGTTTTATTTCTGATCAATTTTCCTGCATTATTGATCGCGATCTCCAATTTTTCGTAATCCTCAACAGACTTTAGATATGAGATCAGATCTATAATATAACTGTAAGTTTGGTTAGGTGATGTCACTTGGACTGCGTAAGAAATCACGGATATGCAAATGTTATGCATACACTGGTGCCAAGACTTTCTTTTTTCTGACCTGAGGGGCAGGATCGTCTTCATCCTCCTCATTCTCACTTTCAACCTCCATCGGATATGGCTCGAAATCATCTTCATCATCAGAATCTACCTTCTGCTCGTTAACTGACACATTTATAATATTTCAATTTGCATTCATTACCTTAACCGTTTTCATACAATATCGGAAACGGCTTCTTACCCGTTGTATTATTATCTTCTTTGCCCAAAGGTTCGATGTCCTCATCGTTAATCTTATTAGATCGCTCATCCTCCGTGCCCTCTTGAAATTCTTTGATCTCATGTGATTCTATCACATCTGTAATAATTCCGATAAAAGTGAATATTAAACTTGATAGATATCGATAACGATGAAGTATAACAGTATTTACAAACCTTCCGAGAATTCCTCTTCTATGATCCCAGGATCAACAACGCCATCCTTGACTTCGATTAGCTGTTTTAAGTGATTAATCTCATCTTCTGAAATTACACCAAAATTCAAAATGTTGTCCGGCTCGTCGATCAATCCTGAAAGCACTTCAGCCGTGACCTATATATTAGGAATGTCCCATAAACTTGGTCGCAATCTCTATAGTAATTCTCTTGATGAGTCAATCAATTAATATTTTGTGCAAACCATTCCCAATTTCCGCATTTCTCCGGAAGAACTCTGCAACCAATGGGTAACACCCAACGTGATTTCCCTGGGAATCGCCGCCTTAATCAATGTCTCCTTGGGAAGGTAGCCGAATATTATGAGAATTGCACTGGTCAAATCTAAACAAAAGGGTCTAGAGGTATTAGGCATGTTCATCACCGAAATTATCTTGTGATCAAAACTTACACATTTGATTAGTGATCGATCCGTGTTTGACAAATGTAGGATCGGACCATGAAGATATGAGGGTTTTGAGTAGACCGGTGAGATCTACAATGCATTTTTGAAGAAGGATTATTGTAAACAATGAATGTGGTCATTAAAGATCCACCTGAAAAATAAAGTTTTCGAAACCGTCATCCACTCCCAATCTTAATGCTTCACCATTTTCGTCACGTGGCTGCCTATGTAGATATCCCCAACTCAAGAAACAACAAAGAACCCGTAAAATCGTTACAGAGAAAGTTTTTCCTCCAACGAAATATTTATATTTGATCAGATAAGATGCCGCCTCACTATTTGATTTTCCAATAAGTGATCCAATCACCTTGGCAACCCTCCGAATCCGATAACGAGATTCATTCTCAATAGAGGCGGGATTGATTATCTTGGAAAGTTCGTGATTTTGCACATGCAGGAATAAAGATGAGAGAAATGTTTCTAAAGTGTATGGAAGAAACGTCGCGATCAAGCGATGCCAAATGTCCTGGTAAATACTCCCATAGGGAAGGCTAAGACGTTTCGACAATAATGGGTAGAGTGTCTGAACGACAATTTCTTCAGGTGAAAAATGATTAAAAAAATATGAATTGAAGCTACATTATTCGGAAAACGCAAGAACTCATGTACACCACCGCGACGCACTTGAATGACCAATCCTACACATTTTGGATAACAACCCTCCAACTGCAAATGTCAATATTTCGATCATTTCTTCTAAAAAATTCGCGGAATTCAAGGAGATCGGTAAATAGAAAAGTTCAACTATATTTCTAATACAAAAATAAGAAGTACGCGCCATTCAATTTTTCGTGATTACTCCTTAGATATATCAGTTTTTCGCCGTCTGTCACGAGTTTTCCAAAGAAATTTCTATTCAATTTTAATTTTTTCGATCACGACAATTGACAGCAAAAAATTAAAGACAATACGCGATTTAAAACAACCATGAACATAGTAATAATAAATTTTTTATTCGTTAAATATCCACAGTCGCGTGTAAATCTATTGACAAAAATATATATGGGTTGCTCTACCCCAGGATACAAGTCATCTAGATCGGTGGTTTCCTCCTGTAATCCAATGTTACGATGATTCTCCTTCAATGCCATTAGATTCGCTGACCTCTCGGGCACTGAGCAGATGAGGTTCACGAATTCTACCCACTCCGCACGTTTTTCATTTTGTTCGATTTCCGCATCGTTCAGTATCGCATCGTAAAATTCTTCAAAAGAATAGGCTCTTAGCAGTAATATTATGAGTTTTCGGATAGACACCAGCTGATGAGCTCGTTGTTGTCGTTGATCAACTTCGGAAAGTGTGAAATGTGTAACTAATACTCGCAAGGAAATGCTTGCACGTTTCAACTTTTGTGAATTCTTTTCTCCGGTGGGAATAAAATACTCTACGATAAGTTTATCTTGTTGTGTTCGCATGCGAGCATCAAACCCTTCATATAGGACATTTTCAATGATGAAGCTCAAATGTTTCCCATATAGTTTTTTCAGAAAGAAACTTTGTAATTGTGGAGTGGGTGGAGGACCGTTCCAGGAGGTGCCCTTTTCAAAAAAATCCAATGATTCACGTAGAACCTTTATCACCCTTTCAGACGTATGGTCTGAATCCTGGAACTCCTTTTGAAGGGAATGCAGGTAACTGCGCAAATCATCCTTCAAAGAATCGTAACTTGCCATGATCCTCGTTTTCCGTTTTCCCGAACCCTATTTATATACGGATTATCGATCTAGCATAACAGTCACATGATGGCATGTCTTAATTACTTACTGTATAATAAAAATAATAAAATACAGTATTTTGTTTAAGTTCAAATATACTTTTTAAAAAAATCATGCTACTAACAGTTCAATTGAAAAGTTTGAAATTTGATGATAATAAATATTATACTTAATTCAACAAGCATATCAATAATTAGAAACCTATGTTTGGTTTATTCAATTTTTAAAACTACAAAAAAAAAAATAAAATTATGATTAGCTTATTTCTTTAAAAGATTAATAGAAAAGGATTTTATTGTATATACCAGTTTTTGAATTATTAATATAAGCATTGTGTTATAATATAAAATTCATTTATTATATCTATTTTTTTCTTATATATATACAGTATACAATATATAATTAATAATATAACCAATAAAAATTATGATATATCTATTGTAATGAATCATAGTTGATTTATCTTTGTAAAAATCACAAGTACCATATATCTAAGTGGAATATAATTTATTGGAAATAAAATTATAGGTTGATTGTTTATTATAATATATATATTTATATATATTTGAATGTTTATGCATTCAGATTTCTTTTAAAAAAATTATTTAATAATATATTTTTTTTCCAATTAATTAAAGATATGTTATTGTAAATAAGATTAATGGATTTTAACATATTGTGAAACCTGTTTTTTTATAATCTATAACATTATATGTACTATTAGGACTATTAATTCTAATTTCTTCATAATCGAGATCAGGAATAACAGAAAATAATTCAAACAGGTTTAAAATATAATTAAATTTAGCAATCATTCTTTTAGATTGAAGAAAACGTAGTAACCAATTGGCAATAAGCATAGGTCTTTACTTAATATTATTGTTAACTGACGAATAATTATGTTGTTTTTCATATGTTTTAAGTTCGATAAAAATAATTTAACAATTAATTAATTATTCTTGAGATTTAATAATAGCATTATAAATATGTTTTTTTTTTTTTTTTTATCTATAGGTAAATTTATAATTTTTATTACGCATTTTTTAATTGTAAATAATAATATAGCTCCCTACATAAAAATCAACAAAACTTTTTGGATCAGGTAATTATAGTTAAATTAAAGAAATAAAGTTACTATTAATCGAGTTTAAGTACATACAAGAATGGAATAATCTTGTAAAAAAATGAACTAATAAATGCAATTTATGGTTACAAAAAATATGTATATAATCTAGCAAATAATGAATCAATTTCTCAAGTAATTCCGTCAGTTCACTTTCTTCGTTAACAATCTTTTGCATTTCGCAAAAAAAGAAACGTTTTCTAGGATTTTATTAAATAAGACAAAATTGATAATCAATTCCCTGTATATAGATGCCAAGGACTATGAATAACAATTATTAACACACCGTCATGTTGAAACTCTAGAAGCTTAAAATATTTCACTGCGTCTTCTGTAAATAATTCTCCTCCTCTCTCTTTTCCTTCGGTACAGGAATATCCATTCCTCCAGAGGTAGCTCTTGCAATTATTCCCTCGGCCCATTTTACAACGGGAAGATCAATCCTATTGCAGATACATGAAAACATAAATAGACGTGAGAGATGCAACCATCGAACCAGTAGATACTTACACTTTCCCGTCTAAATCGAACGCTCCAATCCCCTTTTTGCTGTGCTGCTCATAGTTGTAAACTATTCGTGCCGCTCTTTCAACGTCTATATGTTAAATAATCTAGATGTCAAAGTTGGGAGAAAATGAAAACTTATTACTCATTTACTCATTTAATACCTTGTTCATCCGGCAGAAACATTTTTTGTATAATGTCAATTTGACATGGGTGAATAGCTTGCTATAAAAAATAGTAGAAGGTAAAAAAAAAAAAACTTTTAACTTTCCTAAAAGATCAAATTTAAGTTCGCAGTTACCTTTCCAAGATAACCCATCTCTCGACCTTCCTTACATTCTTCCCTCAAAATATCATCATTTCTGAAATCAATACAAACCTATGCAACATAAATACATAACCCTACACTTATCAAAGTAAACGTTGTTATCATCAAGAATAATTACTATATCAATTGGTTGTAATCCATAGGCACAGGCTGTTGTCACTATGTTTTGACGCGCGAACGACAATTCCTTGCGTGATGGTGTTCTTATGAGCCCTTTTCCAATTTAAATTCCAATTTTTAGGTCTCAACTTCATGAATTGAATTAGTTGAAAGATGATTCCATACCAACATCTGCGCAATAATCCTCTGCAGCAAACTGAATATATTTGTCATTATCATTATATTTAAAAATTTAACCAATTCGCATCAAAATATCTTACTAGCAATGCATCCAATCGTGGGTCAGATGTGGCAATTTCTTTGAGATTCATGATGGCTAACGCGCTTTCTATGGATGCTACCAAGCGAATATTTGATCGGCTAAATTATAATCGGTGCATTACTGAACAAGAGGTTTTCGATAATAATCGTACAGTAAATGGACTTTCTTCGGGCTAAAGACTCACTTCTCTTTCGGCGCAATCGAGTCTATCATTCGACTGACAAATTGAACATCTTTGGGAGAACGTACTTTAGGTATTACGATGCCTTCGAGGTGTTTTGCTCGAAGCTAAGAGCATTCATTGGGTTAATTGGATTTGAAAAAGATGGTATTTCAAAAAAAAAAAAAAGAAAGAAAAGAAAGAGGAAAGAATGCTCACTATGACATTAAGGTCGTCCAATTCCAAACCTGTCGCGTAATAATACAATTACATATCACGTTAGCAACATGCTAGTTGAATGAATTTAAGTGTCTTTCAAACTTACCTGATCCAACTGCATTGATACGAACTGCTCTCTCAGACTTTGACTCAGCCGGTAAAGACTGAATATATATATGAAGGAAATAATAAGCATTGAATTGAATCTCTCGGCAGGAATTGAAATTGTAAATATTCGTTGCACCTCTAAAATGTCAAAGACCATTTCCCTCGCGACACCTTTCCTCGTGAAGGCAACGCTATCTTCGAGATCATATACAATGCTGTCTGCAGTTAAATTTAATGAACTTTTGATCTTACGCTCTTCACTACCAGGAACTGTGCATTATCATAAAAATGATAAGATTTAGAAGTATAGTAGAAGTCAAATGAACGCTGGATAGTTGGAGGTACCATAAAATAATGCCCGTCGGGTGCGCGGAACGGGCTTTTGGACAGGAGCTTCAACTTTGTTTGGGGCGTCACTTGCATAATTTCGCGTAAGGCGCGAAAATTTTCTTGATACGTGTATTACCCGCGAGCATCCGCTTTTAGTCGCTATTAATTAGAGAGATCCTGCATAAACAAGGTTGTCTATCATAAAGCAGGGAAATACAATAACGTACCAGTAAACGATCGTAAAGTGAACAATGACATCTCGATTCGTGTCGCGAATTCTAAGCTTTTTTTTTATATATATATAAATCTTATAAAATCGATCATCTGATTGGTCAATCAATAGATTAAGATAAAGTACACCGCTAAAATTTCGATTGGTACATTATTACACAACATACTATATAATATATATATTATATATTACATATCACGTGAAAATAGAGTCCCGGGTGACCCATTGACCTTATTTCAACCATAAGGAAGATAAAAAAAAAAGAAAAAAATCATAGAATAAATATGGAAATCCAGTATAGTAGACGAAGCAACATATTATACAACCAAGGAATACAGCAAATTGTTCAATCAATATTTTAACTAACAACCATTTAAAAAGTATTAAATATAAGTAGTATAAACCAACCAAACTTCACAAATTAAGATTACAATATCCCGATGATTAATTGTCGTAGGTAAATAAATTAAACATAAAAATTTCTTATCAAGTTCCTAGAATGTTTCTTCAACTTCTCAAACATTATTTGGTCTTAAGATCTATGTCATTAAAGTTCGATTGGATGTACTCTAGCCAAAGTTAAAAAATGTAGCATCAGATTGAAACCTTAAGGAGAACAAAAGCATATAGAGGAATGAATACGTCATTTCTAGAATATCAGAATTATCACACTGCAGGTTAACCACTGTAACAAATGATTCCCTGGTTCGAAATAATGTGATCGAGCACCGTCTATCGTGTGACTTATCCCGTGGATTCAGTTTCAATATTTACCGAAGAGTCAGACTTGGGTTCATCCATCGTCACTTCTGATATTGTGCTTCGAATTATGTTTGGAAGGCTGGATTGTCTGACAGGTGATGTAGAGGTTGATGTCAAACCTTCATTTATTGCTGATGCAAGGTCTTCCTGATCGTGATTAACTTCCAGAGGCGGCATGAAGTACGAAGGTTTCTTCGCAGTTGCCACCTCGGTCCCCTTGATTCCAAGCGTATTAAGCATTGAAGGCAAGGCTCCTAATCTCGCATAGAACATTTGTAGGCGCAACCTTAAACATTCTGCATACAGATCACTTATGGTACGATTGGTGTAAAGACGCTGACGAACGTTACGAATAAATACGTAAAACTCGCACACGGCTACCAATCGATCACGACAATAGCGATCAATAAGTGACCAATCATCTAAGTTAGTTATGCGATATTGAAAAGTTAAGGGACCCGGTCTGCCACAGCATTGACAACCCATTCTTGGGTAAGTTGAATTCCCAGAAATACGATCCCACAGGGCCGGTTTGGCAGCAGTGTTGCGGACAGGAGAATTAAGATTTAGGGCGAATTCCTTTTCTGCACCGGGCGGGGCTTCTTCGATGAAACATGTGTTGGCAACGATAGCATCAATTATTTTACGAGAGGAAACTCGTGGACTGTTACCGAATCTCATACAAGCATCTACATCCTCTTCCAGGCAATGTTTCATAAAGGGAATAGTGTGAATTCTTTGAAGCCGTACGGTTATACTCGTTTCAACAAATTCTTTAAATTCGTTCATTAGTTCAGGATCTATTCCAATCCCGTCCTCTCCAGTTGGTCCTGGTAAGGTCGCCGCTGCTTCGGGCGATTTTTCGCGAAGTCCGAACAACTCTGCGAAATCAATACTAGCCCTGAACGATGGATCGCTAGAACTCGAACGTTTGCTTTCCGATTGTGGCTGTTCATGAATCATGTGTTCCATCTTTTCCCTCAGTTCCTTGAGTTGCATACTTTCAGCCGCCAAACGTTCTTGTGTCTCCAAAAGTTGCTTTTCCAGAGCTTTTTGTTGAACCTCCAATTCATGTCGCTGCTTCGCCTCGGAAGCTACCATACCATTCGCCTGTTCAAAGAGTGATCGACTTAGCTCCTCGAGTTCACCTTCCACCATATCCTTGGAATGTTGCAACTCAGCCACCTTGTCAATTTCATTGACATATTTTTCGTTAAGGTAGGCCATGTCTTTTTGTAATGCAGCGAATTCATCAGATTTGGCATCAATTTGATCCTCCAGCTCTTCTATCCGCTTTCTTAAATGCTCGATTTCATCATTTTGCCGCTCTACTTTGTCAAACTCTTCCTTTATTCTGCTATTAGCGACTTCCAAATCGTCGAGTAATTGTAACTTTTGCTTATTTATGTCCGCCACTATGGGTATAACTCTATCACAGTCACTACAATTCGCCGTATCCTGAACTACATTTACTTTCTGGCAGTGACAATCAGCTATATTATCTTCATTTTCGGCATTCACATCTAATATTTCGCCTATTTGTTCCGTTGAATGATTGTTAGAAAGTTCGGAAGGTTGCGTCTCTAAAGGGCTACTATCATTAAGGGGGACTGTTTCACGTGAAGAAATTAAAGAAATCGAAGATTCATTAACTTTCTCCCTGACGGCCTGAATCCTAGAGTATAACTCTTTTATCGGGTAATCTTTTCCATTTGTTACGGGATTTGTGGGTGACTCAGTTTCGGTCATTGCTGTAAGAATAGAACGGAAATAATTTAATTTATTATTTATTACGACCATACTTTCATGGAAAGTATTTAATGCGAAGGTAAACGTTAGGGCGTACGAAAATTGTCAATAGAAAAGGACGAATTTTCGCTGCAGATCTAAAGCAGAAAAGAACGAACATAGTATACCGGTTTCCCTACCAGTGTATTATACCCCCAGGGCTCTCTCGTGTCGATAAGTTGAAGACCCACAAATTTGTTTTCAAAGGAGCTTGAATCCTTGGCAGTAAACTTAAAGAGCAAAAATTTGGGGGTTTGTAAGAAAGAAAATAATAGACGTAGTCTAAAACTTAAGTAGATTTAGTAAACGTAATATAATTGCTATGGCGGTTGTGGCTCAATTTTCTAGGTGAAACCTGATTGGTTCACCATGAATAACATCTGAAAACAATCGGCCGCTCTATGAGAGAGATACTTTTTAGATATCATGTCACTACCTAATGCCGACGAACTCGAACAACTTCCAGAGATTGGTTTGTGCCATAAATGAACACCAGTCATAAAAGTCACTGTGAAATTTGTAAGGCTTATTTTACTTCACTTGTTAACACTTCCAGAGAAGCAATGGGCAGTCAAAGCTATGCACCATGCAGAGATTTACTTCAGGTTGATAACAACGGTTGACAACGAAAAACTTCGGTTGACTCCGTACTGTATCATTTTCAAACATACTTATAGTCAAATTGTAATGTCCTAAACATTCCGGGCATATTATGTGATACTTTCGCTTTTATAAAAAACAGCATAGATGATGAGATATACGAAGATTTCAAGAAATCTTTCCCAGATTTTTCAATAGATGTGATAGATGAAGAATCAATGAAATCAGAAGAGGGAAAGGAGAAATGGAGAAATTGGATAATGAAATATGAAAATAAAATAGATGAATACAACTTTGGTACTTTGCTAAGGAAAAATGTGAACGGCGATTACACGGAAGAAAACACTATTTTCGGTGAGTGTCCCTGGGTGTGATTTGAGAAAATTCTCGAACAAATATTTATATGGATAATTTGTCGTCACTCCATTATGTGCGATTACCAAAAATGAAATGATGGTAGTTACACGAATGCAGGTATGGTCGATCCTATTTCTGTGCGCTAGTTTTATAGTACTTTTTTTTTTTCCACAATGAATTTAAAGTTTGGATCTTATTTAGTTTTTCGCCATTGAAATAGCGAGGAACAGGGATGGACTTAATTCCCATCTATTTAAAAAGGGATCTAAATAACTCACCATACCCATTGTTTAAATTAAATTGTAAATTTTATGCATTCCGACTGTACATTGGTTAATGATTGGATGTGTTGGGTTTTGAATTCTGAAGATTGAATGTGGTGGTTGTTGCGTAACAAAACTTCAACGTTCTGCGGTGCAATCATACGAGAAATAATCTATGAGTTATCTTTCATCAAAATATCTATCGTTCTAAATTTTTTATTTATCACAATTCGTTATACAACGATGTCTATGTTTTAGCTGAATTGATTATTATTATTACATCATATTAAATGCAACTGCTTTTTGAATATTATGGTCTATTGTAGAAAAATCAATGAGAACGTTACAAACCATGGGACATTATTTTTTACATATTCATTCAATCACATGGTTTAAATAAAATTGTAATTGCGAGAAGTCTTTTTTTCTAATACGAAATTAAAGATTTTTCATAAGGAAAATTAATAATAATAATTTTTTAAAAAGATTTTAGAATGAAGGTTTAATAAATCATATATACGGTAATTAATAAATATTTGGTATGAATCAAAATGTCAAATTCAAGTATAACATCATACCGCGTAGAATCTATTTTTAAATAAATTTAAACCCATTTTTTTTATATTTATCATATTGATTAATTTATTTTTAAGTTATGATGATATGAAAATATAAAGTTTTTTATTTTTTAAAAAAAATTTATTGTTATTGATTATTATTAATGATATACTGTATATCAAAAAGAATAATATACTGTATGTCTTCCATATTATTTTCAATGAGCTTAATATTGACTTGTATTATAAATAATTAATCAAGATGTATTATTATATTATGTATCATATATACTGTATATACACGTATATATAATTTTAAAATATATTAATCTTTGATTATATAAAGATATTGTAATTATTTTATTAGAATTTAACATATTTGCATTTTAAAAATAATAAAATACATAATAAACAAAATTATTAAGATAATAAAATTATTAAATTAATTTATAAATCAATAGTATAAATAGATAATGTTCTTAGATCTTCAAATATATATTCTTACAAAGAGTAAAATATATAAATTTAATGGTTTTTCTATATATAAAATATTTAAATAATTGAATTTTGATCAAATTAAATTAAACTGAATAAAGATATGATTCTTGATTTTTTTAATAATTATAGATTAAAATTAATTTGAAATAGAAAAGATTATATAAGTAAGACTTTTGATTTAATTTTTATAAAATTTTAAATTTTAAATTAGTATATTAAATTTTATAATATAAAATATATTCTAATTTAAAAATATTTCAATTTAACATTTACTTAAAAAAAATTATATATTATATTATATAAATAAAAGTTATAAATAGTGACAATAAATAATATCTTCTTTAAAATTTTAAATAAAAAATATTAAACAGATTATTTAAATAAAAAATATTAAACAGATTATTTAAATATTTTAATCAATCTTAAAAAATATATATTTTAAATAATAATTATTAAAATCCAAATTAAATTAGATAATTTATAAATTAATAATAATATTTCTATTCTTTAAAAATTTTATTTAATATATATATAAGTTCATTTTTAAAGTAAATTAATTTATGTTTTAAAATTTCTTTTCAATATTAGTCTAATAGTTACTGTAAACAAGCTAGTATTTAATTCATTATACTATTATACATGAAAAATGTTGTTTCTTTTACAATATATATCTATTATTATATAAATTAAATAAAGAAATGATATTTATTTACAAAATAATAATAATAATAATAAATAAATTAATTTATATAACTAAGTAAAACTAAAATATATTAATTTAAATAAATATTATAATTATAGATACTATTAATATTTTTTTTTTTTTTTTTTTTTGCTGCAAACAAGCATTAAATGCGAGACATTTATTAAACATAAGTTTATCGTCATTA